CATTTCAACCTTGGTCTTTTTAAATTGCTTGACAATGTCATTTTCTTCTATAATAGGTATGGGAACTTGTTGCACGGTAAGGATAGGTTGTGTAGATATGGGAGGTTGCATTCTCCCGGATCTTGTGAGGACGTTTATGGGTGAATCCTCTTCATCCCAAAAATCCCCTATTGAATATAACATTGAAGGTGGAGGTTCTTCCATGTCTTTTAGGTAGACGTCTTCATCATCGCTGTCCCAAACCCCAATAATGCTTATTCTTGTTCTTGTGGGATTGGAACTAGCTTCTTATCATCAATCATCTTCTGAATTAAATCTTTGAATTTAAAACAGTTTTCAATGGTATGTTCCCCTGATTGATGGTATGGACAGTAGAACACGTCTGTCCTTTTTAGTGATTCTAATGGTCTCGGTTCGAGAGGTTTGACCTTACCATCATCGGAGAGCATTTTGAAAATTTTAGCATAGGAATTCCCAATTGGAGTATAGAATTTATTACTTTTCTTGGGTGTGTCAATTACTTGGAGATGGAATGCTTTCTTCTTCATGGGTGGAAATTTAGCATACTTGCTCTGAAGTTCCTCTCCTTGTTTCTTTGCTAATTCAATATCTTCACGCAGTAAGTCTATTCCCTCCCACATTGACCATATAAGAATCTGTACTTCTTCCTTGGTTGCTAGTTCTGGTTCAGAAGGAAAGTCATCCATGGCATCGAAAAAGTTTTCCTCCTCTTCTTCGACAGCGTGAATTTCTTCAATAGGTTTGATGAGAGATGAAGGATCAACATGGTTTTCCTCATCAGAGATGGCCAAGGAATCGGAGAAAGGTGCATTGTTGATGCTTGACTTCTTACTTGCAGGGGGCAATGGTAGTTTGTTATTATCAATCAAATCTTGGATTGCTTCCTTAAGCTTCCAACAGTTCTCAGTGAGATGTCCCCTACTTTGGTGATATTTGCAGTGTGCATTGGGGTTCCAATTAGCCGTCCTCTTTTCAACTAGTGGGTCCCCAAATGGTCCAATAGGAGTTATAAGACCTTTTGTATTCAGTCGATCGAATGCGGTGTCATAACTCATACCCATAGGAGTAAAATTCCTCCTAAATGGTTTCTTTTTCCCTTGGTTGTTCATAGCAAGGACTTCACTCAAATTAATGGTGCTAAAATTAATTGAGTGGGTGGTTTTAGAAGAAGAAGGATTGTCGTTCTTCTTGCCTTTCCAGCCACTGTTGGAGCTATTGTTATCAGCTTTTTGTTTAGCAAGGTCGTCTTCAATATTAATCCCAATATCATAGACGGCCTTGAACGTATGAAAGTTTTTTTGATATTTAAGATGCTTGGAGTACCTTTATTGGAGGTGTTTTATAAACAACCTCACAAATTCTTTTTCACTCGGCACTTCAATCATCCTAGCAGAGGTTTTTCTCCATTTCTCGAAGAAAGAAGTGAAACCTTCATTCTCTTTATGTTTAATTATTTTAAGTTCCCTATGATCCGTTTCAACTTGAATATTGCATTTATACCTATCAATGAAAGCGTTCACAATTGATTCCCAAGTAGAGGTTTTCTTTTTGTCAAGAGAAAAGAACCATTATCGGCAAACGGTTTCAAGAGATAAGGAAAATAAAGAACGAAATACTTTTATATCAATACCCTTAATATTCATTATTGTTTCAAAAGCTCTTAAATGAAAGTAAGGGTTATCAGTTGCTTTGAATTTTGGGATGTCGTTGGCATTGAACTTTTGCGGAAGAAGCCTTTTGTCCACCGTAACCCCTTGTGAACTAATGCCCTGAAACCTGTAATCATTAGATATCTTGCTCCAGCTTTCTTGCATGAGCTCCATTTGTTGTTTCTTCAAAGGGTCATTAATTTGGAGGGTTAAGGTCTTTAGTAGTTCAGTAACATCAGCCATTTGCTTCTTGAGCTCATTAACTTCTTCTTCACTCGCCATTGTCTTCTTAGCGTTCCTTTTTCGACCGATTGGTTTGTCAAAAAATTGTACTTGAACGAAAAGGGTGTCTCTGATTAAACGCCCTTCCTTTCTTGACCACGCGCTTTAAATTAAACCATTTTTTTATTTTAATAACTTGACTCAAATCTACTTTGACTTTAAAAGTTTATAAATAAAAAGAAAAAAAAAGCAAAAATAGGGTGTAAATTTTTGGGAATCAAGTATTTGGGTTTAAACAGGTGATTTAATTGGAGGATTAATATCCGACTTACCCCCTTAAAAAAATGACGGAAAACACGTGCATACAAGACTCTCTAGACATGGTCAAAGTGTACATACATATTAGTGTGTGCTTTATTTGTGAGTGCAAGTGGCATGCTTTGACTCTTGTGTAAGACCATGGGACTTAGTGCCTATACTCAATTAAGGACTAAACAAAGGTACTGTTATTAACAAAATAATCGAACTGAATAGCAAATTGTTTAATTAGACTCGTCGTGATGACTCGAGAAAAATGTTGAACTATCGCTAAAGCAGCAGGATTGTCGCCGCACACTGCAGTGCAGCGTGTGGCGCTGCAGTCCAAATTTTTGCGCCATTACGGGAGCATTAATCTGGGACTGCTTTCAATATTTTTACTCTACGGGACATGCCAAAAGTCGTACTAAATTAATTCTGATTAAATTATTAGACTTTAATTACTCTAATTAATTAATTAGGCAAAGTCCTTTTAGCCATTAATTAGTTTATTTAAGGCTTAAACACAAGTCAAACAAACGGTTAGGAAAAACACATAGAGTATGCACAACAAATAATGCACATTTAGTCAAGTAGGCATAATATGATGCAGTGAGTTTGCAACCTAACCATGGCTCTAGTTCTCTAAAGTTCGGGATATGGGTTAGTCAAAGAGGGTCCATGGTTATGGCCAATTTACTAAACTGGGCCCGGTTTGAGCCTTATATGAGGCCCAATGATCTAGGGGAAGGCCTAATATGATTTATCATTCCTAATGCAATTAGGAATGGTTTTAGTCTTCTAGATTCTTCTAGAAGGTTCTTTTCATTCTTAATTCAATTACCATTGATAAATTGACTTTTGTTGACTTTTTAGAGTTTTAATTAAAATCAAAGAGCATTTTTGAGGAAAAGATACGATTTTATCCTCCTGTACGGCAAAATTTATCTGATTTTAGAAAACGCGTCAAAAACAAGATTAGCGCCTAATGCTAGGCATTGGCGCCTGGCTCTAAGCCTGACGCTAGCATTGGCGCTTGGCGCCAGTAGCTGGCGTTGGCGCCAGCTCTGTTTTTCGTGCGCGAATGCTCTGTTTTGTTAATTTTATCTTTTTGGCTGATTTTCTCTATAAATAACGTATTATAAACTCCGTTTTCATTCACCTACAACCAGCTTTCATTCGCAATCATCAATTCTCTCATTCTCTTCTAATCCATCTCTTTCTCTCTCTCCCTTTTTCTAACTTGCTTTTTACATACAAAATTCCGCATTCATTAGATCTAAAAACACCTAGCCATATTCGAAGTTGCCTTCATCCTAGACGTGAAAGGTTTAATTTCTGAGGGTTTGGTCCCAAATCTCTATTTCAATTATTTAATTTAATTATATTTTCCTTGAAGTTACTAACGTGTGTATTTTGTTATTAGAAAGAGGTGCGAGGCATCAAAGTAAGTGCTTTAATGGTTTTATTGATATTATAATATAGAAATCATGCTTAGGTTATTATTATGATATTCCTAGTATCATGTTAGAATGCTTGATGTTTTGAATGACAACAATGATTCCTAGTATCATGTTTAGGGAAAAGGTTATAATATCAAACATGCTTATTATGATTCCTGCGATGCCTTTTATTCTCTTCCTAATATTTATGATTGTTAGTATCAAGTTAGGGTTAAAGATTTGATTTTTATTGCTTAGTGACATGCTAGGGTTTGTTATTAATCTTGTTAGTATCATGCCTAGGATCTTGCTATTATTATTATGCTTTAACATGATTATGTTGATTATGATTGTAATTGTTATAATTGATGACCATGATTATTATTATTAATTATGATTTTGTTATGATGATTATAATTTTATGATTATGATAATTATTATTAATTGATTATTTATTATGTTGCTTGATATTTATTGTTATTGCTTGATCACACGTTTTATGCATGTTTAAAGGGAATTTTGTACTTGTAATAACGCTTAATAAGATAATTAATAATCTTATTTAGGGTTAATTTGATTATAATTTCAAGTGATCGCCAATAATAGTTTTATTTGTGCATTAATATTCAACCAACATAGATAAACAGGTTTAGGGTTAAACCTATTGATTGCATGTTAGTCAGAAAGCGCACATGAATACGAACCCGTATCTTGCTGTAGGGACCTCTACCTCTGTTGGGATTACTGCTTCACATCCGTACACCAACGAGAATGGGGTGTGTCCTATAGCGCCTTTTAGGGTTGTTCTGTTTGTCCATAGTATGTTGGGTAGTTCGTCTGCCTATTTCCCTTTTGCTCCTTCCAGCCTTTTCTTCATGTTACCTATGAGGACTTTATTGCTTGACTCTGCCTGTCCATTTGCTTGTGGGTACCTAGGTGTAGACGTGATGAGGGAGATGTTCCATTCCTTACAGAACTTCGTATTCTTATTGCTGATGAATTGGGATCCATTGTCTGTAATGATCTCTGCTGGTACCCCGAATCTACTTAGGATGTTTCTTTTTATAAACGATATGACGTGCTTATCCTTGATTTCCTTGTATGCTTCTGCTTCGATCCATTTTGAAAAGTAGTCTGTCGTTGCTAAGAAGTATATTCTTTGCCCTGATGATGGAGGAAGTTTTACTATATCCATTCCCCACTTCATGAATGGACAAGGTGTCAGTGTTTGATGTAGCTCTTCTGATGGCCTATGTGTCAAGGGTGCGTGCTTCTGGCATGCTAGGAATCTCATGGCGAATTCTGCTGCATCCTTTCTCATGCTGGGCCAGTAGTATCCCATTCTAAGTGCTCTGTTGGTTAAATCCCTTCATCTAGAATGATTTCCGCACTCCCCACTGTGTAAAGACTGTAAGACCTGTTGCGCTTCCTTTACTTCTAGGCATCGTAAGAAGGGGCATGCTACAGATTTCTTAAAGAGTACATTGCAGATTAGGCAGTACTTAGAAGCTTTTTGAGCAAGTGCTTGAGCTGCTACTTTCCCTGTTGGTTTCGTCATGTCCAAGAGGTATTCTTTTAGTGGTGTTGTCCAGCTGTTGCCTTCTTTTACTGTAGGGTTTTCTTGCACTTTGTAGACGCTCACAGTCGATTCTTTCTCTATGGCTGGAGAGAGTACGTGCACTAGGGGGATAGCTCCGAATTCTTCCGGGTTGATGTTTGATCCCAAGTTAGCTAGGGCGTCTGCTTCAGTGTTCAAGTTTCTAGGTACTTGATCTATCTTGAATTCCTTGAACTCTTTAATGAGCTTCTTTGTGACTTCCAGGTAGGCTATCATCCTGGCATCCTTTGTTGCATATTCTCCGTTGACTTGATTTACCATGAGTAAGGAGTCCGAAATTACCTCTAGATGTTGTATCTTCATGTCTTTTGCAACGGTTAATCTTGTGATTAGCGCTTCATATTCAGCTTCATTGTTGGTGGCTTTGAAGTTGCACCTTATTGCTTGTGCTATCTTGTCTCCTTCGGGTGATGTCAGTACTATTCCTAGGCCTACTCTGCGTATGTTTGCTGCGCCATCTGTATGGAGTATCCACTTTTGTGTAGCTTTTGGTTCCTGTAGTGCCAATACTTCCTTTTGTGCTTCTTCCTCAAGAGTTGGGCTGAAGTCTACTACGAAGTCTGCCAAGGCTTGTGATTTGATTGTTGTCCTAGGCTCGTATTGTATATCGTACCTGCTCAGATGTTAGGCCCATTTCTCCATCCTTCCTGACATTTTGGCTTTCTCATGATAGCTTTGATGGGATAGTTGGTGCGTACTTGTATGGAGTGGCTTTCAAAGTATGGGCGTAACTTCACTGAAGCAGTAACTAAGGCTAAAATGATCTTCTCTAATGACGCATACCTTGTTTCCGCAGTGAGTAGGGTTTTGCTTACGTAGTAGATTGGGAATTGCACCTTGTCTTCTTCTCTTGTGAGGACTCCACTGATCGTCCCTTCAGACACTGCGAGGTATAGCTGGAGTGGATCTCCTTCCTTAGCTTAGAGAGAATTAATGAGTTAGCTAAGTATTCTTTTAGCTTCTGAAATGCTTCGTCGTGCTCCTGCTCCCATTTGAATTCCTTATTTTTCTTCAATACTTCGTAAAAGGCTCTGTTCTTGTCTGAAGATTTTGAAATGAACCTATTCAATGCTGCGATTTTCCCTGTTAAGCTCTGTACTTCCTTCTTCGACTTTGGTCGCTCTAGGTCTAGGATGGCTTTGACTTGGTCTGGGCTGGCTTCTATTCCTCTTTGCGTAACCATGTATCCCAGGAACTTTCCTGACTGTACTCCAAATGTGCATATTGTGGGGTTCAACTTCATGCCGTACTGCTTCAGGATGGCAAATGCTTCTCTAAGATCTCTGACGTGATCTTCTGCCTTTTTGGACATTACTACCATGTCGTCTATGTAGACCTCTATTGTATTCCCTATTTGCTCTTCAAACATCTTGTTCACCAACCATTGATATGTTGCTCCTGCATTCTTCAATCCAAAAGGCATTACTTTGTACCAGTATATTCCTTGACTAGTAATGAAAGCGGTTTTCTCTTGGTCATCCTTGTGCATGAGGATTTGATTGTATCCACTGTACGCGTCCATGAAGGATAGTAGTTCATGCCCTGTTGTGGCGTCTACCATGGCATCAATATAAGGTAGAGGGAACGGATCTTTTGGCCATGCCTTGTTGATATCTGTGAAGTCTATACAGATGCGCCATTTTTCGTTCTTCTTCCTGACTACTACTACGTTAGCAAGCCATTATGGTTACTTTACTTCTCTGATCTTTCCAGTCTTCAATAGGTTCTGGATTTCCTCATTAAAAATCTTGTTCCTTTCTGGCGCAAATTTCCTTTTCTTCTGCTTTACTGGTGTATGTAGGGGATCTACATTCAGCTTGTGAGTAATTACGTTTGGAGAGATGCCTTTCATGTCTTCATGGGTCCAAGCGAATACATCTTTTTCCTCTTCTAAAAAGTCATATATTTGTTGTCTGAGTTCTGACTTCAATTCTGATCCTATTCTGACCTTTTGGTCTGGATGTTTAGGGTTCAACTAGACTTCTGTAGCTTCTTGTTCCTCTGCTATGCTTAACTTTTCTTGGCCCAGCTGACCCTCTGATTGCTATGCTGAACTCTTTTCTACAGATGTTGCTTTTAGTGCGATCTTGTAACATTCCTTGGCTTCCCTAGGATCTCCTCTGATTTCTTGAATACCCCATCTAGTAGGAAACTTAATGACCTGATGGTATGTAGAGGGAATGGCCTTCATCTCATGTATCCAGGGTCTGCCTAAGATCATATTGTACGAAGATAGAGTGTCAATCACTAGGAACTTGACCTGTAGGTTGATTCCTTTTGCGTACGTGGCCAATGTAATCTCTCTACTTGTCTTCTTGGTTTCCCCACTGAATCCCACTAACATTGTTGACTTTTTGACGATGTTCTTTTCGTCTATGTTCATATGTTTCAGTGTGTCAAGCATGATGATGTTTGCAGAGCTTCCATTGTCCACTAGGATTCGCTTGATTATGCAGTTTCCAACTGGGAGTGAAATCACTAGGCCGTTATGATGGCCTTCTACTACATCGCTTTCTTCAAACATGATGGGAATGTCTATCTTGGATTTCTCCCTCTTGTCAGTTGATCCTTATTACTCTCCTTTGCATGCCGCTTTGTTGTAGAATACGTTAAACCACATACTTCTGATCCTCCTTATATGAAACAAATGGTTTTGACAATTAGAGGCGGAGGTGGAGGACCTCCTTGCTTAGATTCTCTTTCCCTCCCTGAAGCTTTAGATTTATCTGACATGAGTTCTTTAAGGTAGCCCTTTTTAGCAGGTATACAACTTCCTTTCTGAGCGCGACACATTCATCATTAGTGTGACCGATATCTGAATGGAAATCACACCATCTGGACAGATCTTTCTTCTCTCCAGGTCTGTCACTCTTCCTGGGCCATTGCATAGTATCTCCCATCTTATTTAGGGTCCTTATTACTCCTGCAGGGTTAACATTGAAGCAATACTCATGTAACTTAGGTGGGAGTTCGGGATCTTCCCTCCAATCAGAAAATTCTTCTTTGACAGCATTTACTGATCCCTCATCAAAGCGGGAACGCTGATACGACTTGAATTGATGATCCCTTCTAGGAAAATTGTTGTTCCTTCTTGACTGGCGATCTGGTTCGGGAGTCTTTCTTGCATACGCATCTTCCTCAAATTTGACTTGAGCCATAGCTTTGGCTTGCACATCTTCAAAGGTTGCACAGGGATATTTGGTCAACTCCTTGTAGAGATCACTATGGTCTTGCAATCCTCTTCTGAATGCTTCGATTGTTGTGGGAGCATCACACTTATGTATTCCAATCTTCTCCCTGTTGAACATGTTAAGATAATCTCTCAAGGATTCACCATGTCTCTGCACAACGCGGTACAGATCTGAAGAATGCTTTTTGATTTTTCTGCTGCTAGAAAACTGGACCTTGAATTGGTTCACCATTCCTGCAAAAGATCGAATTGTCCCATTATCTAAATTAATGAACCAAGTTAGAGTTGGACCTGATAACGTGGCTCCAAAGCCTTTGCACATGATAGCCTCTCTGATGTCTCTAGGGATTGAGCTTGTCATCATCTTCTTCTTGTAAAGGGATACATGCTCATCAGGATCCGTCGTTCCATCATACATGGTCATATTGGCCGTGCTGAACCTCTTTAGCACCTCTACCATGCCGATCTCTTCTGAGAATGGGGATTCTATATAGCCATCTGCCGCCTCTTCTTCCATGGGTTTCGGCATTCCAGGAATTTTGACGATTTTGGCCTCGATTGTCTTGAGGTATTCCTTGACCATCTTTTCTACTTTTCCCTCTTCGGCTCCTTCCTGACTGTCCTTCTTGGGGGTTCCTGCTTCCAAAAACTCTAGATCCAGGGTTGCCTCCCTGTTGTTAGATCCTTTTTCCTTGTTAGGGGTGTGAAAGGTTCCGGACATGTGGAGCTGCATGGCTATACTTTCGGTGCTCTTTCTGGTGTTAACGGTTTTAGATGCAACTGATTGTATTTGGCTGCGAAGGGCTTCATTTTGTTTGTTAAGGCTGGTGAGTTTGGCTTAAGTTTGGACCTTTTGAGCCAGCAACGTTTCAATTTGGCTTTTCTGCTGGTCTAAATTTTGGCGCAATGCGTTCATTCCTTCATTAATTTCGGCAATAGTAAAGGGTACTGGTTGCCCTGTCATGGTGTTTTTCTTGGTTTTTTGGTGAATTGGTAGGTTAATTGATTATCAGCCCCACGGTGGGCGCCAAATTGTTTAGGCAAATCTCAATAAGGGCATCTAAGAATTTGCTAGGTTTTAGGGGTAATAACAATCATTCTACCAACAACATATAAAAGAACTACAAACGATAATAAATCAATAAGTAATCAATAAGTAAGCAATAAATATTCAATTATATAAAGAAGATGAGTTTAGAGATACAATACTGAGTAAGGATAGGCCTCCTTGTTTAGTAGGCACGCAATTCCGTAGATAAAAGTAGAGCGAATTGTTTATATTTAAGTATATGCGAACGTACATGAGTGTTAAAAATGTCTAATTCTTCTTATTTATACCTAGGGATCTCTAGGGTTTACAAATATATTCAGAATATCTTTGAAATGTATAAGATCTTCTTGATTTATCTTGTTTCCTGCTCTGTAGGTGTATCTTTGGCAAGTATCTCCTTGATTGATATGCTTGATGCTGCTTTCCTTGTTTATTTCAATCAAGCCGTTTTGCGTATTCTTGCTGATTTATTGGCCTTGGATTGGTGCCCTAAGTACAATGGGTCATGTGATAATACGGGCCCAACAGGTACATTCTATTCATATCTCTCCATCTAAATCTTCTTCACATTTTCTTCCAATCTTTCTTCACTTCCTCCATCCATTGCACGTTGAATAATGTTTGAGTCAAATAATTAACAATGAATATCCCCAAATTCCTTTTCCATAGTACTTGGTCAAGGAGAGAAGGGCGATTAATCAAGGACAACCTCTTTATTCAGATCTCGCTTTTTGATAAACCGATTCGTCAAAAGAGGAAGGCTAAAAAGATAATGGCAACTCAAGAAGAAGTCAATGAGCTTAGGAACCAATTGGTTACCGTGACTGAGACACTGAAGCTCTTCACACTCAAGATCGATGATCTCGTGAAGCAACAATAGATGGACCTCATGAAAGAGAGTCTAAGCAAGCTATCTAGTTACTATAAATTTCAGGGCATGAGTTCAAAAGGGGTCTCGCTGGACAAGGAACTTCTTCCGCATAAGTTCAATGCCACTAGCATCCCTAAATTCAAGGCAACAGATGACCCTTACTTCCATCTAAGAGCTTTTGAAACCATAATGAGCATTAAGGGTATCGATAAGAAGGTTTTCCCCTCTCTGTTCCCACTATCTCTCGAAACCGTTTGTCAACAATGGTTCTTTTCTCTCGAGAAGGAAAAATCCTCTTCTTGGGAGTCGATAACAAACGTTTTCATAGATAGATGTAAGTGCAACATCCAAGACGAAACAGACTGTAGACAACTTGAGATGTTAAAACAAAAAGAAAACGAAGGGTTCACGTCTTTCTTCAATAAATGGAGGGAAACTTACACTAATATGGTCAAGGCTCCCACCGAAAAGGAATCTATAAGGATTTTTATCAAGAATCTCCAAGGGAAGTATTCAAAGCACTTAAAGTACCAACACAATTTAAATACTCTCAAAGCTGTCTATAATATAGGCGTTGACATTGAAGATGACCTTCTGAAAGTTAATAGTGCAAGAGGAAACCGCTCCACAAAGTGCTCGCCCTCAAGAGCCGGAGGAATCATCTCCTTAATTGGCCAGTATGTCCCCTAATAGTGGATGGACATACGAGGTGGCACAAACTCAGCAGGTCCACCCTGACAAAGCAAGTCAAAATCAGTAAAACATTACTTGGGGGCTACTTAACGAAAGGTAAAAGCTGAAAATCATACCTCCACCTCCTCAGTAGGTACAAGAACTGGAGCTAACTGCGGCAATAGCTCCTCCTTATAGCACCGCCCAGGGATCGTGTAAGATCGCCAAGGGGTACCAGCTCCCTCTGACATGCTCACCAACCTTGCGCCATTAAACATGTGACGCGGTGGAGGAGCAGGAACGACAAAAGTATCTGATGAATGCTGAATAGCAACCCTCTACCCATGATACGCGATCGCTCCATAGGTCCCCAAGAAATAGCGACGCTCAGCAGAATATTGCGCAGCTAGCCCAGGGACTCCCAAGTCGACTCACGGTCGGTACAACACGTCAGGCTCCTACAAAGAGCGTCTATAAGACAAGAATCTATCAAAGGTATCACATAATGTTCAAATATGTAAAGAACCATACCAAGATAATCCAATCTCGGACATAAGCAGTGGACATCCCCACACGGCGGCTTCCCCAGGAAGCACTCACTAAAAACCTGCTCGGTGACGGTCTCGCCGGCGCAGCTGAGGGAAAGTACTCATAGAACCAGATCTACAAAAGGCAAAAATTATCAGCGAGTGCTAACTAAAGCTTAGAGCTAAACTTTATGGAAATAAAGTATACCTCTACAACCGTCCAAAAGTCAAATAGAGCATCGTTCCCCATGAAGGACAGATGTCGACACGAGTCCCGAAACGCTCGGATGAAGTCAGCATAGGCGAAGCTGGCCTAGTCGTAAGTCCCGATCCGGTGTAGATTACGGACAACAGGAAGGTAGTAAAGCAGCGCCTTACTACCCTTGTCAGGGGAAAACGTCCCTAACAGCAAGATAAGTACAAAGATGCACACCAGCTGCTCTCGGGTAGTCGCATAATCATCAAAAGCCGCTGCAAGAGTCGAGCGGCAAATCCCCCACGCGCTTAACTGAGTCAACTCCACCTCAGCTCGAGCCCGAACAGCAATCGGACCCAACAACTCCTCGACCTCGAGAGAAAATACGCTGATCTCGTTGTCAAACGACAGCGCAAAAAAGCTAAACTCCAGTCCCGTAATGTGACTAAAGTCGGTCGGGGTGACCATCATCTCACCCCAAGGGATGTGAAAAGTGTTGATGGTGTCCCAAAACCACTCCACCAGAGCACGAACCACATGGTGACCCCCGTTAGAGGCTATCATGGCCTTTGAGGTCTCAAAGAGTGCAGTCAGTCCGCAAGACTCCCATAAAAGTCTCGCCTCGTCGTCATTGGCGATGTACACCTTGTACAAGTAGCCCAAGGTATCGCAACCGGAACCATGGAAGCGCGTCCTCCCAACTGTGATGCCCCATCTCATCCTCTTAGAGATGTGGTGGACGGGAGAGAAGTACAAAGTCCGCTCATCCCACTCAGGGAGTCGGCCGAGTGAAGTGGACGGATCAGCGTCATCCTCTACGGGCTCATGCTCCCGACGAACGTCTCGGGACCGCAAACCCGAACCTCGCTGTCTAGCCAAGATATATTGTGCAAAATCATCATAAATTAAGGATTTATAGTATATAAGGTTTGCCTAGCCGCATGATACTATGTTCGCGAAAAATAGAGTACGTAGTATTAAAACAGAGCACAAATTCAAATTGAGCATATACGTCAT